GAGGCCCCCTTTCCCTGGCTCCGCCGGGCTCCCTCCCGGCCCGCGCCCGGGTCCTCGGGTCGCCCGCAACCGCCCCGCCGCCGCGCCCCTTTACCACTGGACACTGTGGCGCACGCAAGCAGGAGCGTCAGGACCAGCGGCCGCTCCAAACCCGCGGGGGCCTGGGCGCCCGGTCTGGGCGGCAGCTTCGCGCGCACAGCCCCACTCATCTTCCTCAGGGCGACAGCGGCCATAACGGACTCTGCCCGGAACCTGCGCGGTAGCTAGGCTCTGCGTCATGACGTCAGACCTGCGTCAGGCGTCAGGGCCCGGAGCCCCTGAGTCCCAGCGTGGTGACGTAGCAGCCGGCGCGGGCTCTGGAAAGGGAAATGAGGAGGAAGGGTGGTGGGAGCTGGGCAAAGGGGAGCCCCCCAACCCCGACTGGGCTGCGGGCCAAGGAGGTGATGGGTCCGGTGTGGAGAGGGTCAGGAGCGAGCCTCTGCCTGCCTCCCGATGATGGTAAACGCACAGCTAATAAAAGTGCTTTCAAACGTCTGTGAATATGTCATAACTTAATAAATAAAACTTCAAAAACAAAAACAAACAGTGGAGGAGCCAACTGTGTCATAGGCTGGTCCCCCAAGGAAGGTAACTGCCTCTTCCCTCCCAAAGGCGAAGGAAACGGATGTTCACAGGGCAATGTCTGGGTGGAATTACAGGTAAATGCTTTTACCTTTTATCTGTACCCATAGTCACTCACCACTTGCACATTTAGCCTCTCCATACTTCAGTATACAGCGGGGAACAGAACAAAACCCGACTTTTGTGGTGTTTATTTTCTTGTGAGGGAGACCACAGTGTAAAATATATGATGGTAAACGCACAGCTAATAAAAGTGCTTTAAAACGTCTGTGAATATGTAATAACTTAATAAAACTTCAAAAACAAAAACAAACAGTGGAGGAGCCAACTGTGTCATAGGCTGGTCCCCAAAGGAAGGTAACTGCCTCTTCCCTCCCAAAGGCGAAGGAAACGGATGTTCACAGGGCAATGTCTGGGTGGAATTACAGGTAAATGCTTTTACCTTTTATCTGTACCCATAGTCACTCACCACTTGCACATTTAGCCTCTCCATACTTCAGTATACAGCGGGGAACAGAACAAAACCCGACTTTTGTGGTGTTTATTTTCTTGTGAGGGAGACCACAGTGTAAAATATACACTGTATGCGATGGAAGAGGCATTATGGAGGGAAGCAGGCTAAGAAATAGAGGGGCAAAGGGCTTCCACATTTCCTGCAATAAGCTGCTGTTACTTTTTAAATTTTGAAACTTCAAATTCCCAGCATCTGAAAATGCAAACTTAATAGCATCCACAGTTCCCTTAAGGCAGCGGTTCTCAACCTGTGGGTCACGACCCCTTTGGGGGTCGAACGACCCTTTCACAGGGGTCGCCTAAGACCATCGGAAAACACATCTATAATTACATATTGTTTTTGTGATTAATCACTATGCTTTAATTATGTTCAATTTGTAACAATGAAAATACATCCTGCATATCAGATATTTACATTGCGATTCATAACAGTAGCAAAATTACAGTTATGAAGTAGCAACGAAAATAATTTTATGGTTGGGGGTCACCACAACATGAGGAACTGTATGAAAGGGTCGCGGCATTAGGAAGGTTGAGAACCACTGCCTTAAGGCCTTAGGCACAACGGTTTGATCTGTATGTTCTGTGAATGTTTCCTTAATAAACATCTATAGGCTTCAGATAAAAGTCCCATAGGGTCAGTTTGCAGGAAAATCAGCATGTCAGGAAAGATGTTTATTGTACCCACCACTTCCCCACTCTGGGCTCCGAGATTCCCTTGGAAGATTGCTGCCACCCCACCCCACCCCCAAACACACACACACACAGCTGAGCTGTCCCTGAGAAGGGCCTGTGTTCTTCTGAATCTGGTTTCCCTTAACATTTATCTGGCCCGGCGACAGCTCTGAGACACACACACTACGCGGTTATAAGAAAACTGAGAAGTCATTCATCGGCTCACTTCCCTAAGCCCACCACAAGCCTACACAGACTGAATGGTGCCCTCATCCCAAAGCTTCCAGGGCAGCCAGGGCACAAGTCTTCCCAAGTTCCCCTGGAGCTCCCCTCTGAATGCAGAAACCACCACTCAGTTTCATGAATAAGCTTCATTCTAGCTTCTGCTTCTTGGGAGTGACTTAAACAGGCCTATTTCTGTAGTAAATACACTTCAACCCTCTCCTCTTTGTCCCGATTGTTTATTCTCTTACTGGTGAGCTGTCATGAACTCAACGCAATTTACACAATCTTTTGTGATGCGACATACAATAGGCACGTATTTAATTTAAAATGGGGAGGAAAATAGTCCCTCATACTCCAAGGGCCCTTTGTACATTTCAAAAAACTAGTACTGTACCTGGCATCTGACTGGTTGTACCCAGTAGCCATTCTATGCCAAAACCTCTAGACCAGTGGTCAGCAAACTCATTAGTCAACAGAGCCAAATATCAACAGTACTTCTTCAAATAGACTCGCCCAGGCCAAAAACCGACTTCTGTGCATGGGCCACGAAGTTTCAATCGCACTGTACGTGCGCCCGCCCGTGGTATTTTGTGGAAGAGCCACACTCAAGGGGCCAAAGAGCCGCATGTGGCTCGAGAGCCACAGTTTGCCAACCACAGCCCTAGACAAATCCAACAAAGTTCACTTTGAAATGGTTGCACATAATTATAAACCTGATGAAGACAGCATGGCAAATACTGAGGCCAGGAGTTATGGGGTGATCAGTTACACAAAACGCTAGAAATAAACCTGATACTTTGGAATTGTCACTTCCAGATATCCATAAAAAGAAATTTTGCCTAAAAATGTTATCATTGAGTGGGAAAAAATGTTCATGTTTGTTGATACTGGGTAATGTATATGTAGTTTGTTACTATTCTGCTTTGTGAGTGTTGCAAGTTTTCACCATTATTTTTAAAATTATAAGCTTATGGCAGAATTCTAAAACAGCCCCAATGACCCATGCCTTTTTATTATTCCCTGCCCTTGAGTGTGGGAGAAATCAGTGAATACATCACTTCTGTGATTAGGCTGTTATATGGCACAACTGACTTTGAAAATGGGAGATTACCCTCAGTGGGCCTGCCCTAATCAGGTGAGCCCTTGAAAAGGGTGGAGCAGTTATAAACAAGTTATGGGGATGTAATATACAACATGGTGGCTACTATGCTGTATATTTGAAAGTCGCTGCCAGAATAGATCTTAAAAGTTCTTATCAGAAGAAAAAGTTGTAACTATGTGTGGTGATAGATGTTAACTGCACTTATTGTGGAAATAACTTTGCAAACATTGAATCATTATGTTGCACACCTGAAACTATAAATATGTCAATTTTATCTCAAAAATAAAAATAATTTTAAAGTGAGGGTGGGCCGGAACCGTTTTGGCTCAGTGGATAGAGCGTCGGCCTGCAGACTGAAAGGTCCCAGGTTCGATTCCAGTCAAGGGCATGTAGCTGGGTTGCGGGCACATCCCCAGTAGGAGATGTGCAGGAGGCAGCTGATGGATATTTCTCTCTCATCAATGTTTCTAACTATCTCTCTCCCTTCCTCTCTGTAAAAAAATCAATAAAATATATTTTAAAAAAACAAAGTGAGGGTGGGTCTATTCCTGGAGATTTGAAGTGTGAGAGGGATTTGGCAGTGAATGTTCTGTCCCAGCTTTAAAGATGAAGGGGACCACGTGGCAATGCATGCAGGTAGCCATTAGCTGAGAGTGGCCCCTCGCTGGTGGCCAGCAAGGAAATAGAGACAACTATCCTACAACCAAAAGGAACTGAATTCTGTCATGTAAGCCCGGAAAAGGACCCCAAACTCCAGCTGAGAACAGTCTGGCTGACATCCTAACTTCAGCATTGTGAGAACTTTCAGGGAGACCCCAACCACAACATCCTTGGATTTCTGAACTATAGACATGTGAAATAAATAAATGAGTGTTGTTTTAGAAACCAAATTTGTGGTAATTTGTTATGCAGCAACAGAAAACTAAAAATATCTCACACAGAAACACACACAGAACAGGGGCCAAAGAACAAGACCAAATGCCCTATTTATTTACACTCTTTTATTAATAAAAAACAACAGAAGGAAGACGAGGTTTCAATATTTTATTCAAGTTTTATTTTAAGTGATGTTAATTACAGCATTTGAAAGGGATGTTCTAATTCCACACAATGGAAGACTCTAAAATGTACCCATTAAACTGCTAAAAAACCAAGTGGCGAGAATACAACAGAAGTCTAATTTAGGTTCCGAGTGTTGTCACCATGTGATTACAGTCACAGACTCTTCCCAGCTTGCAGCTGGAGCTCTTGGAAGCTATTTCATACTCTGGTGCAAGGGCAAAAACCACAACATGAGAGGGAATTAAGTCCTGAATTTATTGGCTTCATCGCATCCACCTTCTCCACCCCAAAATGGCACAAAGGAAACTACCACACCCTGCAGACTACTTTTGGTGCAAAAGAGGTGATGGACCAGGGTGGAAACAGGTCTAAAAAAGTCCCATCAGATGAGTTTGTACACACCATCAAATAGTGAGCCTCTCTCAATGAGGGTAAGAAATCAAGATTCAATTCTCAGGAAGTCATAATTTCATACATTTAAGCAATACAAATTTACAAAGTGCTTACAAATCATCATCAGCTTCCACTTGCAGCCATTTCTCGATAAAAAAGAAACCTGACATCTTAGAGGGGCTGCCAAGTTCCCCCAAGTCTACAGCTGTGAGGACCTGCTTTGGAATCGGGTTTCTTCTGTACCTCTGAAAGGGTAACACCTTAAAGCTGAATCATCTTTAACCTGGAGGTCTAACGTGATATTTAACAATACTTGCATCCCAGACATACAACATTAAAAGGTACACTAAATTCTGAAGGTAGCTATGCTGCAAAATAGTTTAAAATTAAACAATTGAACAGTCTTCGTTTATGCTTGAAATTCCAGTCCTAGACCAAGCTTGTGGCCACCAGCATTGACATTCTTGCCATCCAGCAGAGCTGACAGCGTCAGTTTGATACCTGTAGGGACAAAATCCGGAGAAGAAAGGGGAGGGATGAAGAAAAGAAGAGAGAAGAAAAGTTAACACACGAAGGATTGTTGGAGTGTCCTGGCAAAACCACACCAAATTCAAAACCTGTTCCAGCTGCGTGATCAGGGCAAAACCACATGGCCCTTCAGTTACTCAATGCCATCTGCCTAATTAACAG